ACGCCGATACTTCGGACCCTACAAGGTTCTGCGTCGTCTTAGCGACGTGACGTACGAAGTCGTGCCCGACGCCTCCTCCTGTTCAAAACGTCGCCAGCATCTGCCTGAGACAGTGCACGTGGTCCGCATGAAACTTTACCACTCTCAGTGATGTAAACACTCGATGGCCGCATCTCTACCTGTTGAGCATCGGGACGACGCTCACTCTGGCGGGAGGGTAATGCCGCGTGCATAGCTGCATTTAGCGGCGAGATAGCGACGACAACGAAGAACGCGGATTTGCTCGAGAGGCGCAGCGCAGCAGACTGAAGAAGACGACAATCTTAGCGGCCTTCTCTGAGAGCGTCTCTACAAGTCCTACTGTCCGTGTTTTTAAATAAACCCCCTGTCATTTATAACCCGCGACAATATCTTTAGTAACAGGAAAATTTATGATAATTCTGCTCCTTTTGGGCTCCTTTGCAGAAATGTCACCACATTTTCTGGGCTTTTCTCATGAATATTATTCACTTATTAGCTTGGTAGCATCTGGTGACATTGATGCTTTTTCATGAATGCTTCCAGAATTTCCGAAATAAGATCACAATCTCAGATTAAAATTTTTTAAACAAATGTTCCACAATGCTTTTCTTGTTACAACTACAAGATCGAATGTATGAAAAGTTTAATTTCTATGGTGTGGGAAACATAATTTTGCTCTGCGACACCATAATTCCCATTCAAGCCTGCACCACAACTTGACTAATGTAAGCATTTTGGCATTTGGTATATAGTTTGGTATAAGATTTAAACTAAAGCTTTTTCTAAAAGTGTAAGAAGGTAATTTGGCAAAAACATGCAAGGACTAGGCTGGTGGGAATAGTATCTTTTATATTTGAAGCCAAGTCAAAGCGAATAGTGATTTTGGTCGAATAATTTTGAATAGAATACAAATAGTATATATCACATATGATAAAAAAATTGGGCATATTACCAAATTAACCTGCACAGTATTTTTTTTAAATTGAAATAAGGCCCGTGTGAATGCCATTCTTTTTGGTGATTTAAATGAGCTGATAACAGCTTTGAATAACGTAGGATTTGACTATCAATAGGATGCGAGTGACAACTTGCAAAATATGTTGGTTTAAAATATACAAGCCGGCATGACAAGCGTTTAAACTTTGTGAGGGTAATATGTTCATTTAACCTTGACGTAAACTTTGCAACATCGCATATTTACCCTGACTAAATGTTTTGACAGTTTGACACATTTTCGCTGCAGTGAAACCACCTTTTTTTGAACAAATTTTTGAACAATTTAAATTCAAGTATAAGTGAGCTGAAATATTTGAAGGTTTCAAACATTCACACAAGCTCATCAAAAACGAATTGCAATACTGCCAAGTAAAATCATTACATGGTGAAATGTAATGTACAAGTTCACAACATTTCTTGGCCACCATTCTGATAAATAGCTTTACAAAGATTTTATTCAGACATTAACAACATATCTAGGAATCATGAGTAAGTAAAAGTTTCATCAGCCTCAGATGCCTTACAAGATGCTATCAACAAAGCTGGCATGTATAATTTCATTCTGAAAATCCAGGGTAATTAATTTGAAACTTTGCATTTTATAAATACTCCAATATTTTATTACTTTACTAAAAAAGCAGAGGGTCCATTGTTAACATCAGTCCATTGTTTCCCCAACTTGTAAACACTTTCACACAGTGGTGGTCTCGTCATGATGATACCTTTCGTGGCATGGGTTGCAAAGGGGCACTAAACCCTGCAAACCAACTAACCCGCCATAATAATAAGAATGATAAAAAACAATTGCTGAGCTGCAGTCTATGTACAGTATCAATTTTTATGAAACAGAGAGCGTGGCCTGTGCGCTCTGGCGGCTGCTTGCAGCGCGCTCAAGCGGGACCAAGAGCAACCACAGCCTTTTTTTCTCTTCATCTCGCGGCGAGCAAAACAATCACTCGTTTCTGATATGAAACCAGCGGCAAGATTGCCACCCCTCCCCCTTCAAGGTGATTACACAAGAGCTGGTAATCGCCTTGAAGGAAGGGTTTGCAACCTTGCTGTTCTATATCAGCTACGAATGGTTGTTTTGCTCGCCACAAGATGACACGAAAAGAGACTGTGGTTGCTCTCGGTCCTGCTTGAATGCGCTGCGAGCAGCCGCCGGAGCGCGCAGGCCATGCGCTCCCGTGTTCTCTTTCATAAAAATTGACATTGTACATAACCAGTTATATGCAGTGAAACTAAACCTAAATAATTGTTTTAGTATACATATGATAATGGTAATGAAGGTAATGACCTGCAGAACATCGCCTAAGCAAACACGGCATTGCCAGAAGCCCAACTACTAAAAAGAAAACCATCGATCTCATGAGTGATGGAAAAGTAAATGAAGTTTTTGGGAGAAGCACTCATAATATGCAATCGTCGCAATGAAGCAATACTATCCACTGTGATAAACAGCAAAGGAGTGAGCATAAAAGAAATGGCAATCCTAGACATGACATAGGAATGTCACAGCTTCCACATGAAATGTGAATTGCTCAAGCGAATAATTCGTTGCACTGGCTGTGTATTTACTTTCTTGGGCATTTATATCATACATGCAGTTAAAAAACATCGCATTCTACTGAGACTTTATATACTATTGTCACAGTGCCTTCCTGAAGCTTTAGCAAACAGGCTGCTCCGATGATACAGGAAGTACACAGTATTTCTAAGGCACCAATAGTCTCAAAGAAAAGTGTATGTTGACAAGCATGTTGTTGCCACAATTTTTAGCTTAATCGCAGCGCAGGCTGTAGTGGCTACAGGTTTTTGAAATATATATGCAACAAAGCCTCAACAGCATGAATTAGTTTCATTCCTGATGGCATGGTTTAATGTGGATCAATCTTCAAGTAGAACCCCACCTAGGACAATTAGCTATATTACCTTTTAATCAGGTAAATATGGTGTTTTAAAGTAAGAACAACTTGAAAAAGGAACACATTACAAAGTACATGACAGTGTGAAAACACACCACAACAAAGCACTTGTAATGATGTATGTTGTGCCACCTTTCAAATTTGCTCTTTCCTGAGATTAATGAATTCATTCTTTTTCCATTATTTTTTAACCGCAGATGCAATTCAGTAAGTAAGCTTTACAGCACATGAGTGTATCATATAACCTGCTGGCAAATACCATGCAGCAATTATAGTCAATAAAAAAAGTGATATTATTGCACTGTCACCTCATTCAGAGTTTCTAAAGATTGAATAACTGACAGTTTACTTGCTCTGCCTTTGACACAAAGAAATCTCACAGGGAACCTCTGCAGAAATAACTGCTTTCCACGTGTACACAAGCATAAACAAAAATGAAAAAGCAAGGTTCTACTGGTGCTTTGATTTGGAAGATGTGCCGACATTGTCACACGTTTTTTTCCCTTGAAGAGAACTCTGCCACTCTAAACAACCCGATCACAGTGGTGACATTCCGCAGTTAGTGGAATACAAAAGAAACATTCAGCTTGCAAGGATATGAATACAGGATAACACGAGTCCTGCCAGCCAAGGACAGTACTAAACAAACAATATCAAGACAAAGGCAGATAGCAGCACACTGCTTGTTGAAATCATGTCATTTTACACAAGGCGTTTGCAGAGACCTACAAAGAGTGCTTGTGTCTGTAATCTTGAATACTGTTTACTGCTGGACCTGAGTTCCTAGTCTTTGACCCCACTAGTAAAATTTAAAACTGACACTGTTCTAACAACAAATGCAATGCGTGTCAGGCTTGCGCATTAGCTCACGGAACGCTTTTCATCACTATCTTCCTTTGAATCGGCAAAAATGACTCATTTGAAAAAGTAACTGAAAGACAAAAGTTAAACTGCTACACGGAGCTGGTAAGGAGTGCACCAGCACTTTCATGATCATGTTAACAACATTGTGCTTTTTCCTGAAGAGCCACTTTGATATCTAAAGCATCTTTAGTGACAGACTTTAGCGATTAGAGAAGTATTGAGTGTGTATTTTATAAAACCAATAAGAACAATATGTTCGTTGAAAAATTCCAACAAGAACTGCTAGCTCCTCAAAACATCTCAGACTTCATCTGACATTGTAAAACAATGTGAGGCAGCATGTTACAGTACGCCTTTTGAATAGATGTATATGTCTATTGCTCTAAACAAACTCCTCATTTGACCACATGTTCCCAGTATCCAAAATAATATTTGTAGTGATGAGCTCAAACATATAAACACGCCACTCATTTACAACATGACTTTTTTTTAGGAAGTATAGACAGACATAAAAAGCTTGACAGGCCATAAACTGTGCTCCACAAAACAAGAAAATTCATACACCGCTTAATTCCCATTAGTTGTGCTATTATGACAGACTTCATGAGCACTGTAAGAAGCCCAACTAAGGACAAACTTGGTACAAGATGGTTTTAAGTTGCAAAAGACTTACTGCAAAATTTACGAGCAACCTGATAGATTCCTGCTGTAGCTGTTAGCATAGCTTAAAGTCTGAGGAGTTACTGATGGCAACCATGCATGAGCAAGATTGAGAATCCACAGAAGTGAAGATCAGTGGGCTAGTTGGCTCAAACTTGTGACATGAATTGCACAAATGTTGCAGTTGTACTTTGCCCTCAAATGTCTTGCATTAAGACATTCAAAAGTGAATTTCAACAAGCAAGGTAACTTTTGTAAACTAAGAAATGTGCCATAAAGAAAAAGATGCACATACACATCAATCTTATGCGCTTATAAATATCAAATTAGGCTCATAATTAGGAAGCTTGAAAAAACAACAAGCTGTCGACTTTGTACATAAGTGATCTGTCTGAGGCTGGTGTGACTCATGGGTCAGGCCATGTGCGCAATCGAGCACAGACACGCACAAAAAAAAAAAAAAACTTGAACCAAACCAAGCAGGGCGACGCCACACAGGCCACTTTCACAAGAACATTCTGTATGGATACACACCTTTCCATCAAATTCCTGATCAAAGCCACGGCTGAAACAGCCATACTAAGGAAGAAGATAAAAGAAAAATGCATCACAAACTTAGGGTGAGATGAATATAAAATAAAAAGCCAATCCAATCCCTCTAGCCATTCTATCTGTATAATCAGCTTATGGGTGTATGCATATTTTGCAGGCTTATTTAGAGCTGAAAAAAGAAGGAGCTGCTGGGATTTTGGCCATTTAATGCTTTGACCAACGAAACATGCAACAAAAAAATGACATAAAATTTACAAAAATAGGGAGCAAGATCTTCTGCAAGATATAGTACATCTGCACGTGCTTGCTTATCCATATTATCGAACAATATCATCCCCAAAATATGATCAGAACAAATGATCGACAGCCTCAGTGGCTCAATGCAAAAGTAATACAGTACTTTCCAAGCAAGTTGATGGTAAGAGCATCATGTCTCATCTGCACTTATCACTGTGTCTTCGACGACTTCAAGCTAAAGGGGGATAAGAAGGACCCCTTTAAATAGTGCTCACGAAACAAAACAGAGCATGAAGGTAAGCATTGACAAAATGCAGTGTCCACCTTCATTTCAGATAATCTTAATATCAACTCAAACGTCTGTAACTTGTGACTAGTACTGAGTAATGATGAAGGAAGAGAATTTTGAGGCATCATTTCTTTGTTTGCACAATACCTGAAACACTATCTTGGTTTGACACACAATGTTTGACGTGCTTTTAGTTGGTTTTCATCAATGTTGTGTCACACAAAGAAACGAGCCCCAAAAATTTGGTGAGGGGATGTGATTCCCAAATAAAGTGCGAGGTAATTAAGGCAGTGGGAATTGGTAAACTTGGCAATACCTGCAAGAGTATGCCGTTCATTGCTTTGACCGAAAAAGAAGTGCACTATTTGTTCCGCGCGCATGACCGCCGTGTGTGGCGTAGGGTGATTACTCTTTTTCGATTTTTTTTCGTTGCAAGTATTGGTTTGCAATCTTTTGTTCCCGTGTATTTTTTCTTAATATTCTGCCGAGTTTCGGAAATTTCGGAAACTGCAGCTGTAAGTCAGCGCTTGTCTGTCTTCCTCCTACCCCTTGTCTTTTGTTGCACTGTTGTCAGTAAAAAGAGAGACCACGGCTGCGAGCAGTGCTGACTAACACTCCCAGAGTTTTCATGCACATGCCCCGTAAGATGGACGACCACTGACGTAGTTCGATTGGTAAGAACACAGGGCACTTAGTATGAAAGCTGCAAATTCGGTTTCTGCTGTCGGCTTTTTCATTTTTCTTATGCTTCACTTTCTTCTTATCTGTATCATAATTACAACGATACACTTAAACAGTACAATTAACACCCTTTGTACTTCCTAGGCTTCACTATCGGCCGACTTTTATTAGCACTTTGTAATGCACATTCCCATCATTTTCACTTCTTGTTGCTATATGACATGACAAATTACTATAGCATGTCTTGCAAATTTGCAGAGTGCAGTTTCACCACTGGCTATCGATCACTTGTACCAATCGTCCTGGTGGTAGTCAGAACAGCACTGTTTATAACGTGCAAGACGATACTCTGAACACATATACAAGTACTAGTCACTGAGGAAACAACTTCAAGAAAGCATGGCCTAGCTAAAGACAGCAGTATTCCAGGCTGCCTACAATTAGCACCTTCTAATTTTGCCATTTCTTAAACGAAAGAATTAACATCTGATACATATTATTCTATGCATTCTGGTGAATGGCAGCATTAGTTGTTAATGTATGGATGCAAGCACAGATAGTTTGCATTAACACCTTAAGAGCTGCTCAGTATACAAACACTTGATCCTATTGCACAAAATATTACTTCATTGCTTTCATTATGTTTTTGGGAAAATTTTGTAATAGTAGGGCGCATTAGGTTGTCCAAGCACTCCACAGAACCTAACAGTCAGACTACTAACATAAGTTTAATTAAAGCATCCTTGTGCTGCGCAATCAGTCACCCAAATTTCATATTGATATGATTCATCATTTCTTATTAACATTAGCGTGAAGAGTTTCTTTGAGTAGTTGATAAATAACTAATATTGGGAAGGAAGGTTACCTTAAGGCATATTCGAGACTCTGGCGATGCAATAGTACTAACAAAAAGCATTGCAATGCACAGCTGTACTAGTGCCAACAATATGGCATGAATGCCCTCAGAGACAAAAACTTCGAATGAACTTTGTGAGTAGATATCTATAAAGAGCATTACATACAATTTTAAAATGGCGCTTTTAAAAAAGTAAGAAAAGAAAGCGTGCCATGCCTCCTTTTACCCTCATTCAAGTACACCAGAATAAACAGATGCGTTACTAACACTGATTAACTAGCGACACTTTATGAGCATTTTTGGAGCACAGAAGCACAACAGTGAGGATGTTCACAATGACATGCAAGGCAAAGCAGCTGCTGTACGGCAGCATAAAGTGACAAAGCCAGGGCCCAGTATTCCTCTCCGTCTCAGTGCAATGCGTGCCATTTCATGTGGGAAGCTTCATTACATCCATGGTGATCAAATGCTGCCAGGATACTACAAGCTGTTTAGGCTAAACGGATGTCAAACTCGTTTCCAGATGTCAAATGACATGAGCAAGATGTTACAAATTGCCCTGTTTTGTCTCGTGTGGCAATGGTAGTGAACTTTTATCAAACTCAATCTCGTCTTGATGGATTTAGTAATGGCAGCTCTACCCCGGCAGCACTTGATCAACACTGAGACCGTGTGCCTGACATCGATACTGCATGCCTGTCCTTAGCACAGAATTAATGTGCTTTCCAGTGAATGCATTTTTGTTCATGAGGTTTCACAATCTCAGAATAGCACAATGTGCCAAGCACTAAGGTGACATGCAGAGCAAGCATGATCATGTAAAAGAAAGGTATACTTGAAATCATACATAATCTGTAAATGTTTATTTCTTTGCTGCAACATTGCATTTAGCTCATTCATAGTGAAGAATGTTAGATGTAAAGCTAAACCACTTTAATTTAAAGTGGCAAGCAGCAAGGGTGAAACATGGCACAGAATTTCATGAAATCCCCCCCCCCCAAAAAAAAAGGAAAGTCATGTTAACATTGACCATGGCACGAAGCTATGAAACAAATGCAGTGTACAGAAACCTTTTTGTATGAATGAAGGCAACATCTCGTTAACAATCCCAGACTTTATGACAAACAGAAGAGGGGGGCCCAATACGGCACAACCATTGGTATTACGCTTTACAAAAGCGAGTTCTCGGGATTTTAAACAGCAAAAGCTGTATCAAGTTCAGTTCCTACAGCTGTGGGAAAAGAACATACGTGGCTCTTCGAAAAATGTCATTCACTGGAAAATACAACTGCTGACATGCAGAAATAGAGAAATTCTTTACAGAGCATCCCATGCGCCATGCCACTTAATTTGTTTCACTCCTTATGTGCAGTCTTAGATAGATGCTTGAATTTTAAAAATTTTAGGTCTTTCCAAGAAGACCTTTTTACATTTAGGGAACCTTGAAGGCAAGGATGCTTCTTGCATTACGACATCTTTCTTACATAAAAAAAACAAAAGTGTCGGTTTGTGAATGCAAATGTCCCTGATAATTTAGATTACTGTCAAATTACCTGTTTTGCATACACCCACTCCATACGCCACACCTATTTCACCAAGAAAGAGAAGGAGAGAGTTATCCATGCATATCTCTCAATGGAAAGGTGTGAACCGCAATACAACAAATTCAATAAAATCTGTGAAAACAGGGACAGAAAGATGTACACCTTATCACAAATGGGAGCAAAGAGCATCATCCAATTAAATGGGACAAAACAAAAATTCAGCGGTGGTATGCACATGCAATACTTAAATTTCAGTTTTGTCCTTTTTCTGAAGCCATGATGGCACTTCATGCTGGTGCTACTTTTCTAAATGAACATTTTATGAAAGCATTGAGCTAGCATGGTATGTACTTGTATGACCACTAGATTTTTTTCATTAAAAGCCATACTTATTATTGGTAGATGAACTGAGACTCAATACAGGCTTCTTATTTTTCTTCACACTACAGTGAAGTAGCAAACGTGGCATTACTTTATCTACACTGAAAAGGACATGTTTTCAAAAATACAACCCACACCTCAACTACTACCCGTGAAAAAATTAACAAAAGATCTCTGTGTATTGCCACAAAGGCACCTTCTCTGCATCGTGATAATGTGCTGTCATGAAGCCGCCTTGCACAATAAAATTTAGACGTACCCTGCATGTCAACTTCAGCCAAGCAGATTCTGTATTGTTATGAAGGTTATGCATGAAAAATAAGGCCCCTGACAGAATTTGTGCCATTAGGTCACTGCCATCGCAATAAATTGTACTCGTCGTTGTTGTAATACCTGTAGTTCTTTGAGTGAGAAGTATCCCTTCGTATAATGCAACATTAGCTGTCAGCCCATATTGCCAATTGATGACAGAATAAGCCCAACTTAATGTTTCTCACAAAGCCTGAAATGCATGTTTTCCACAAATGTGTGAAAATGCTGCATAAGGCGGCTAGTTCAGTGCTTTACATGTGAATGCAAAAACAATGCTTGACCTTAATTTTTTCCACTAACAAGCTGCATCTTCCTGCTGGAAAAAATGTAAATGAGAGATAAATGTGCTTTACAAATATAACAAAATTTCGTGCTTGCCTATAATGCCATTTAAGTATGCTTGAGAAGTTTGAGATAGCTTACAAAGACATGCAACTGTTTTCCAGCATGGCCAGGAAACACTGTCGATTGGTAGTTGAGGTTCCTGAGAATATGCGAGCCAATCATGTAGTGCAGCTGCTGGCCAGGAATTAACAATTAATTCTGAAACGACTGCACAGTATACTCAGATTTAGACATTGACTGATTTGAGCATCGTTGGCTACACAATTATTGCACCCACTCTGTGCGCATGCCCTTACTTGTGCTTGCGATATCCCAAGTTTATCTGCATGTTAAAAGAAAAAAAAAAGGCAAAGTGTTCAAGGCTATAATGTGCACGTTACGTGACTTCTTTCCCCTGTGCCATCCCTCCCTGCTTAGCTTTCAGCACGTTAATTGAAAATTTTGGCTGAACTGAAATACAAAACAAACAGCAATTATAGATAAAAAAACAGCCTTTGTAGCGCTGAATTTTTTCGAATTCAGACTCAGATGTGACAGACTAAGAAGATATGACCTGACACTTCTCTGCCTTTTAACACTAAAATGAGTGTTTTATTAACGTTTCAATGAGCATTTCAACTTTGGAAATTTGATAAGGAGGCACATGATGTAAGATTCATACAAGTAGATTCCTTGTCAAATCAGGTGACAATATTTCAGAACCAAAGTTCCTGTTTCTAAAAAACATCAGATATAATTTGACGCCCCTGCTGTCATGAATCATGCAACCACTGAGTCTAGTAGGCAGTTTCTGAAGCTGAGAATGATATCATACCATAACTATAATAGTTCATGAACGATCCTTGAGAAAATTTACTACTGCTCTTTACATACAGTCGAACCCCTTTATAACAAATACAAATGTAAAAAACAAATGAGTAGAACAGACACCAGTGTGCCTACATTGAAATAGGGGTTGAAAAGAAAATGCATATGTAGTATGTCTATAAGAGAAACCTCATATAAAAAACAAGAATTGCTGCCTGGTTCATGTTGCTCATAATAGGATTCAAATGTTATTGTTTTATTATGACATATAAGTATGTTGTAGAAGCTATAGGCAACAACCGAATATTTCTGGAGCCAGTTTTCAGTTCATGACTTGAATTTTAAAGATTTTTTATTAAAGCGAGTAGCACAAACAAGAAACATACAGATTATGCAGAAAGTGATCTTTCATGCCTCACACAATAAAATTATCATTCACATTAATAAAAATTCCAGACATGATAACCAGCAATTCTAACGGTGGCAGGTAACACTGACATCCTAACTGTTTTTGCTGCAAAAACAAAAGTTCATGCACAAATTATTCAAAGTTTCAGTAAGGAGGTGCAATGCTTTAGCACAAACTAGACTAGGCTATACACTAAAGAACGCTACAAAGCACAAGAAAAGCCATGCACAACAGCCGGCATGCATAACTCAATTGTTTTCTTAGGCTTGGCCAACTCATTACAATAAAAAAATAGTGTTGCAATGATTAGCTGCAGCTTTTTTTTCTTATAACGAAAAGTTCAAGAACAGTGCTGTTCATGCTGTGCAGCAAGTTTAGACTATCATTAAAAAATTTTTGATGCTGTTTCACTACACCACTGTGCAACTATAACTGCGACGTTTATTCTAAAGGCACGTCACAGTAACAGTTGCAGAAAATACAGAAGTGTGCAAGATATACTTCAAAAGAACAATAAACTAAAATTACGTTCTTGTATTGTTATCTGAGATAATCATCACAGATAGTACCACAAAGTTCGAATGCATTGCACATACTATCCATCTTCAGCGAGCTAGTATGAGCAGGTCAAATCAACAATAGAGGCTCTGAAATGCATTAAATGAGTTGCACTGAAGCCAGAAGTGAAGCTTGAATTTGCACCACCACATATCACTCGAGCGAACAAAATCACGCGAATTCTGGCAATAAATGACGCGTAAGATGTATAAAAGCATAAAAAAAGAAAATATTAAAACAGCGGCACAGATAAAAAAAGAAAAAGAAAGACGCAAACACCAAGCTTCATTTTTTTTTTCTTTCTAACGTACAATTCATAACTACGAATTAGCCAATCGGAACACGCTAAGCAAAAATAACAAACAGAACAGCTAAGTTTTGCGTGACAACACAACCATCCCTCCCAAGGAAAATAACACTACGCGAAACTGGACCGGTAACTCACCTCTTCGAGCGTCATCAGCTTGTCGCCCTGTTTGAAAACGTGATCCTCGGAATGCATCTTCATCATTTTCTTGATGAACCGAAGCAGATGCTTTTGATTCATGCACGACGCGGCGTGAACGTGAGTGTCCACCTGCAGCGACCAGTAAACGGAATAAAACCTTAGTTATGTGCAAAGATGCAAAGTCAGTCATGGAAGTGCCTGTAGCGCAAATAGAGAACGTTGCGAAAATCGACGCCGAGATTATTCCGACACAACTCGAAACACTGTTCTCGGTCAAACAAACGTCAAAAGTAGAAAATATTTCGCTGGGTATCACCAAACACGAGAGGCTATGATAGCTCTGTAAATCAGTCTTTTCCTTTGGCTGCGGTGTCGTGCAGCAAAGCACACCGTCGCGCTGCCTCTATGTATACGAGTGTGTAAACCTCGGTAAGGAAGCCCCACGCAGGCTAATCGCGTGCCGCCAATTAGAAAAAAGCTGCAATTTGACAATCACAAAAACGAACACGATTCATCGTGTCGAAATGACAAAAGATTCATGATCAACGTTTCAATTGAGAGGCGTGACGCATTAACAGCGAGCTAATGTTTAGTCAGTCGGTCGGTTAGCATACGACAAATGAAGCCCACGCCCCCACTCTGAAAACTTCGCGCACGATATTTCGGCGATTAGTGCCGAGATAACAAGTGCGTATTATTAGGTTCTTCCCCGAATTTATATATATATATTTTTTTCACATAGCGAGATGCCATTTCTAAGCCCCCGGTGTCTACAAACACGATAAAAGGGCTGTTTTTTTTTTTTTGCCTAACATTTTCTTTGGTGACGACGAAAGATTAGGAGACAGTTAAGTCGAGGTGTATCTAACCGAAACCACCCGCTTCCGCCATCCCCCCGCCTTCGTCATCGCGTGCACTTAATTTTACGACTTACGCCCAAACTGTGTCAACTCTGGGTCGACGCATACGTACTAGTATAGAGCGCATAAGAGTAGCGGGTAGTGAATCACTCAGTTGAAGGGACGACCATCAAACGTGCCAACGCTTAGCCGCGGACAGATACGTGCCTTCCTGATGTTGTAGAAGTCACGATGAGGTACAGCCTTCTGGGCAGCCAGCTCGCGCAGCTCGTTGAGCAGCACGTGCAGCTGGAATTTCGAGGTCAAGTAGCTGAGCCGTCGGTAGCAAAATGATTTACTGGAAACGAGGAAAGACAAAAATAGACGTGAGATGCGAGACGGAAACCGTTGTTCGATCAGGTGTGAACCGATAGAGGAACGTGCATGACAGGCGGAACACGCAAGCATGAAATAGGCAAAACGTCGGTAAAAAAAAAAAAAAAAAGAGGAAGGTACGGATTAGGCAGCTCTCCGGACGTGATGTGGCGGTGGTAAATTTTTGCCCCCCAATAGTGGGGCAGAATTGCCATACCGTGACACGCTAGCTGACAGGCAAGCGTCCATTTTTTTCTTTCTCTTTCTTGTGCGCTTTCCTTTCATATCAAATATAGTAGGGACTACTATATTTGATTAGCGACATGGACGTCGGCAAGATTTTGTCTCGGGGGGGGGGGGGGGGTGCAAGCATGTGAAGCATTGCGGCGGAAGGAGAGGAAGGGGTGTTGGTGCAGCCTGTACAGGGCGCAGATGCTGGGGTGGCTTGAGGGCGGCAATTGCCACTTTTGCACACCCTGCCTACGCTCATGCCAGGGGGCAAGATATTATTAGGGGAAATATGGCCCCCTGTTTTTGCAGCTTATAACGAATCACGGCTCAGCGCCACCCGAATTCGTGCAGGCCACGGTGCAAGAATACTTTAGGTGAGCGAACGCCGGGACAATCCGCTGCCCGATAATGTTCTGCTTCGCTAGAAGCCTGGGAGATGGCGCTAGAAACTTTGCCCCGGCTTCCACTCCCCCCCTTCTTGGTGTAAGAAAGCCCCGTGTTGTAGGAAAGTAGCGGCGCCGTGTCGCCTGTAGGCAGACAGAAATTAGGTGCCTTCTTCCTTTTCCTCATGAACCACTAACAACAACAACATTTATCGTCACCACAACACCCTCGCCGCATAGTCAACCTCCTCCCATATCACCCTCTCTTTCGCGGCGGCGCTCTGTGCGTGTCGCGTGGTGGATATCGCACGATTACCCGGTTTTCTCTGATTTGAAAATCGTCGCTCACGTGCCGGATGTGCTTTGCGGAATTTGCCAGCAGCCCGTCACAGTCCCCGATCCGGCGAGCCATCCATAATCGCTCCCTCCCCGCCAAGCACTCGCTTCGCATCGTTCACTCGCCTAAAGTATTCTTGCAGCATGGTGCAGGCAAATAAAAAAAAAAAACAATATTGTGAGCCACCATGCGGAGCGGGCGTCCGCATGTCCGCAACTTTTCGAAAGCCCCAATACAACTACAAAAAAAAAACGTGTGCATACAGTCTGCTTCACATTCAGGGGAAACCTAGGAGTGCATGGCATCGCGGTGCATAGCGCTGTTATGCCAGCGAGTCCCCGTCAAACGTCCGTGCCTCGGAAAAAGGCAATCTGGGTCAAGGCCAGCCCGCAGTCTGCCTGGCGCGATCACCTCGACGGCGTGAACACGCGCGGCGCCCCTCCGGCCCATGTGCAGTGAGTCAGCGGCGCACGTGACAGCGAGCCGGCGGCCGCGTGTCGGGTGGTCTGACGCATGGCGCGGCGACCCCCATTGGCGGAATCTGCTCTGACGACCAGCGGCGCTTCTGATTGGACACTTTGGTGGGACCCGGTGTAAATAAAAGAAGCCCTGCGGCGTGTCGCGATCGGCGGTCCTATGTGAGAGGCGTCCCCGTGTCGGAGTGCCGACATGTGTGTGAGTCAGCGGTCTTGGGTGAAAGACTGACCTATGTGTTAGAAAGAAGAGCTCGGCTCTTCGAGTCTCTGTCGGCCCCAGTGCCGAAATTGTAACGCCTCTGTAAATATGCTGTACATAAACCTTGTTTAACTCACCGTCGTCTCGTCCGCTCGTCTTATCAGCTCTGCGCAGAAGCAGTCGCGAGCTGATAAACATACGCTACCAAACGGCTGGTGACCTTCCCGGCGGAGTTGAAAGCAGTGGCGCCTCCGGGGCCGTGTTGGCGTCGCCGTCTTTCGCAACAGTGGTGGCTTCGGCGGGATCGGTCCGTCGTTCTCAACAGTGGTTGGCAGCTGCGGGATCGGCCGGCGTCAGCGACATCGATGCGGTGAGTGCCTGATGTTTTCCCCTCAGTTCACCAGACTACTCTAGCTCAGGTTGTAGTAGTTTAGAGAAGGGCTGTGTGAAGCATTGAAGTGAGCTTTGATAGTTTCAAGCCAAGTCGAAGCGCTTTGAAACCAAAGTTAATGCGGAGGGGGTAAACACGGGAGTGTGAAAAATTGCTTGCGCGTCTTGCTAGTAGGCTTATAGTGGGTACGGCAAGTAGATTCTTAACAGGGGCAAACAGCAAGAGGCTAGTGTGAACGATGGAGAACCTTAAAGTGAAGGAACTCATCGAAATTTGTGAGGAACTCGGCATTACTTTGGGCCGTGCGAAACGAAAGCAAGCGATCCTTGAGATCATGAAGGATGAGGGAGTGTCGGCTGAGGAAGTCGATGAGGCCTGGGTGGATATTAAAGCACGCCGTGAGGAGGCTGAAAGGCGAGAAGTAGAAGCTCGCGAACGTGAGGAGGCTGAAAGGCGAGAAGCTCGTGAAGAGGCTGAAAGGCGCGAAGCTCGCGAACGTGAAGAAAGGCGCGAAGCTCGCGAACGTGAAGAAAGGCGAGAAGCTCGCGAACGTGAAGAGGCTGAAAGGCGCGAACGTCGCGAGCGCGAGGAGGCCGAGAGACAAGAGCGCCTAGAGTTGAAACGACTAGAATTGGCAATCCTACAGTGTTCGCAGGCGCCTAGCGTAGCTTCTCCGACGAGTCAGGTCAGCGGTTTTAGAATTCGGGACCAACTGCCACCGTTCGTAGTAGGCGAGGACATGGCGAAGTACCTCGTCAAGTTTGAACACGTCTGTGAGCGAAACGCTTTGGAGCGGTCTCTTTGGGCGCAGAACCTGTTAGCTCTTCTTCCCGGCGAAGTGTCCGACGCATTAACTTGCTTGTCTAGGGAAGCGTTTGAGAGCTATGACGAGGTTAAGGAAGTGCTCTTGAGACGGTACAAGTTGTCACCCGAGGCTTTCAGGCAAAGGTTCCGGTATGCTGAAAAGGGGAATGAGTCACACGTTGACTTCGCGTTTCGTCTTAAAGCCGATTTAATTGAATGGCTCAAGGGCGAAGGTGTTTATGATGATCGCGATAAAGTGGTGGAATGCGTTGCATTGGAGCAATTCTACCGCTGCATCGAGGATAATGTCAGACTTTGGCTGCAGGACAGACTTGGGGAAGTACAGTTAAATAAGGCAGCTGAGTTAGCTGAGGAGTATTATACTCGCCGAAAGTTGCATAGCAGGGCAGTGCGCGTTGAAAAGGATGAGAGAAAAGAGAGCTTTTCAAGGAAACCTGATCAACGGAAACCCGTTCCGCACCGTAATTTCAAAAAGGACCCATCTCTTACTAAGGACAGTGTAGGGGAAGGGCAAGCAGAAGCGGAGAAATCGAGTGAGGTTTCTACCACACAGGCATTCGAATCGGAAAACAAACGGAAGCCGCTAATCTGCTACAACTGCAAAAAGGAAGGGCACATCGCGAGAAACTGTCAGGAAAAGTTTGCCTTCGCAACGATCCGAGAATCAGAAAAAAACATGCGGTTGTTGGAGCCGTATCTCCAAGAAATTAGGGTCAACGAGAAAACGTGCCGAGCACTTAGAGACTCAGCGGCAACCATGGACGTTGTCCATCCTTCATTGGTGTCTCCGGATGACTTCACAGGAGAATGCGCGTGGATTAGGCAAGTCGCCGAGGTGCAGAGTGTTCGCTTACCAATCGCCACGGTTGTCATTGAAGGCCCGTTCGGTAAGCTTTGCACCGAAGCAGCTGTGTCTGCCGCGCTAAATGATCGTTTTCCTTATCTCTTCTCCAACAACTCAGAGCAGCTTCTCAGAGAGCAGGGTAAATCGTTCTTCCCCAACTTAGCGTGCATGGCTCTCACGCGATCGCAAGCGCGAAAGCTTTCGCGAAAGCTTGACTTGGTTCCATGCGGTGAACTCTCAAGTGACCCTGTCGGCGGGTCGACGGAACCCCAGAAAGGAAAGTTTCCGCATGAGTCATGTGAGCAGTCACGCGAGCGGCCCGTCGCCGAACCTAGCTGCGCGGTTTCCGGAGAAAGGGGAGACGACATGGCGCCATTGAGTCAGAGCGAGAGGGTTGCAACGCTCTCGCCTGTAGCGGAAAGTTGGAGCGAGCTGCCGAGAGTTGATCGAGAGACGCTCATTGGAGAGCAACGTGAGGATTTCTCGATTGAAGCGCTAGTGGAGAGCCAAATTGAAGCGCGAGTGGAAAGCCAGAAAAACGCGGCAAAAGTGCTGTCGAAGGAGCACTACGAGGAATCGGTGAAGAAGCGTGCTTTTGAAATAGGGAGTCAGGTAATGCTACTGCAGCCATCCAAAAGGAACAAGCTTGAGGTTGATTGGGAAGGGCCCGCCACAGTATTATCGAAGCCTTGCGATTCAAATTATGAAGTGAAATTAGGAAGGCGGCCGGACAAAATTTACAACTTGATGAAACCATACGTTCAACATCAAGCGGTCGTAAATCTGTTGTTGAATGCTTCAGAGGAAGAGGAAGCAGAAATTTTGAGTTCTAGTGAGGTAATCGAAGGGGGATCGAAAGTAATCCGGGAGCAGATAAACCTAGAGCCTAGCTTAAGTGAAGAAGGACCTGAGAAAGAGGACCTGAGAAAGATTGTTTCCGAGTTTGGGTATGTGTTGTCGGACCGTCCCGGAGACACGACGGTGATCGAACACGATATCGAGCTAAGCGGTGAGGAGTCAATCAGTAGCAAGCCGTATCGTTGTTCCCCTGTGCAACGTCGAAAGTGTGAGCCGCTCTTGGTGCCGCATAGGTATCGTCGCCTAAAAGTGGCCGGTTACTGAAGTGGAGCATGTTGCTCCACAGCGCAACTTTGACGTTCGCTAAAGAAAAAAAAAAGGGAAAGGTAAACGTTAATGCAGGTGCATTGAGCAGTGCGTTTAGTTAGTACCTTCTCAACCTTTCGGTTTCTGGCTGGCGATTCGGGGCAAAATTTTGACCTCATCACGACCTGGCCTG